TTTAACTCAGTATTGAAATCACTCCTGAGGTTTGCCCTTCAGTTAAAGATTAGACAGGCCCATAAAACAAAACGAGACTAAATGGGCACGCCAGCCCCGGGGCAAGGACAAGAAGGCAGGAGGGGACAGAAAAGCTGGTAATAGGGAACCCAAAGTTGAAAAGGGGAGAGTGTTGATACATCATGGTGTTGGCAGTCAGTCTCACAAAACAATATGGGTATTAATTGTTTAATGAGAAACTAATTTGCTCTGTAAACCTTCATCTAAAGTACGGTTAAAAAAAAGTGAGGTTCATTGTAACTGAAATACATGGTAAGTCGAGGACTACCTGTATTCTGTTAGGTTGTTATGATCCTGTTTATCTCATTTGGATATGTTGTAATGTCTCCAATTTAGTTTCTTATTTTGGTTATTTGCATCTTCTCATTTTTTTTCATTTTTCAGTCTAGCCAGTGGTTTGTCCATTCTGTTGATCCTTTTAAAGAACCAGCTTCTGGTCTTATGGATTTTTTTCTATTGTTTTTCTGTTTTCTGTTTCATTTACTTCTGCTCTTATGTTTATTATTTCCTTTCTTTTGGTAGCTTCGATCCTCTTTTGTTCTTCCTTTTCTATTCGAGTTGTAGGCTTAAATTATTGATTTTGAATCTTCTTTTTTAATGTAGGCATTTATTGCTATATTTTCCCTCTGAGCACTACTTTTGCCATGTCCCATAGGTTTTGCTATGTTCAATGTTTTCATTTTCATTTGATTCTGAATATTTTTTAAGTTCACTTTTAATTTCTTCTGTGACCCAATAGTTTTTCAGTAGTACATTATTTAGTTTCCATGTATTTATGTATTTTTTCTTACTCTTTCTGTTATTGGTCAGAGTTCATGCTTTGTATGATTTTAGTTTTTGAAAATTTGTTGAAGTTTGCTTTGTGACCTAGAATATGGTCTGTTCTGGAGAACGTTACATGTGCATTGGAGAAAAATGTGTATCGTGCTGCTGTTAGGTGGTGTGTTCTATATATATCTGTTAGGTCCATTTGGTTAATAGTGTTACTCTGATCTTGTATATCTTTATTGATTTTCCTTCTGATTTTTCTATCTTTTGTCAAAAGTGGTGTATTGAAATCTCCTCCTAATGTGGTACATCTGTCTGTTTCTTTCTTTAATTCTTTTTTTTATTGTTGTAAATAAATGAAGTTTACATTTCAAGTTAGTCTCCCATACAAATTTTTTTTACATACGTTGTTATGAAACTCTAATTGCTCACCCCATTCTGCGACAGCACACTCCTCCTTTCCGCCCCTGATTCCCCATGACCATTCAACCAGCTCCTAACTCTCTCTGCCTTCCCATCTCACCTCTGGACAGAAGCTGCCCCTTTGGTCTCTTGTATCTACTTGACTAAGAGGCACACTCTTCACAAGTATCACTTTACGTCCCACAGTCCAGTCCAATCCCTGTCTGAAGAGTTGGCCTTGGAAATTGTTTTAGTTCTGGGCTGATAGAGAATCCAGGGGCCATGCTTTCCGGGGTTCCTCCAGTCTCATTCAGACCATTAAGTCTGGTCTTCTTACTAGAATTTGAGTTCTGCACCCCATCCTTCTACTGCTCCATCAGGGACCCTCTCTTTTTAATTCTGTTAGAGTTTGCTTTATAAATTTTGGGGCTCTGGCATTAGGTACATAAATATTTATAATTGTTATGTTTTCTTGGTTGATTGTCCCTTTTATCATTATATAATGTTCTTTGTCTCTAATAATGGATTTTGACTTGAAGTCTATTTTGTCTGATGTTAATATTGTCACTCCTGCTTTCTTTTGCTTACAGTTTTCTTGGTATGTTTTTTCCCATGCTTTCGTTTTTAACCTATTTATGTCTTTGTGCCTAAGGTGCATCTTTTGTAGACAACATATTGATGGGTCATTTTTTTCATCCATTCTGCCACTCTCTGTCTTTTGACTGGAGCATTTAATCCATTTACATTTGGTGTTATTATCAATAGGGAAGAACTTTCTGCAGCTATTATACTTTTTTGTGGTGTTAGTAGTTTCTTTGTTCTTCTTTACTTTCTGTGCTGAGTTCTTTTCTGTATGGAATTGTTTTCCTTTCTTTTATTATGAGCCCTGATGGTGCAGTGGTTAAAGCATTTGGCTGCTAACCAAAAGGTCAGTGGTTTGAACCCACCAGCCACTCTGCAGGAGAGAGATATGGTAGTCTGCGTCTGTAAAGATTTACAGCCTTGGAAGCCCTATGGGGCAGTTCTACTCTGTTCTGTCGGGTCTCTGAGTTGGAATCAACTCAGTGGTAATGGGTTTGGTTTTTGGTTTGGTTCTTTTATTATTGTTGTTTTTGTGTTTACTGAGACTTTTTCTTCTTCTTTACTTTGGTAAATAGCTTTATTAATTTTCTCTGTGGTTACCTTAACATTTAGATTTAAAATTTTACATTTTAAAAAATCTGTTGTATCTTTAAATAGCCTCAACTTTTTCATCATGTGGAAGTTCTGTAACTACACCATTCATTCCCCCTTTTCTTTTGCTGTTGTTATCGATTGAAACTTTGTATCTTGGATTCCCTGTAATCAGTTTTGTAACTTTATTTTATTATTGTGATATCTTTACCTGGCTTGGTATCTGGGTGATGCTGTCATGTGTCTTTATCTCAGGTTGTATCTCAGGTTGTTGTCTGATGCCACGGGTTTTCTATCTGAAGGACTCCCTTTAATATTTCTCATAGAGCTGGTCTGCTGGTTATAAATTCCCTTAATTTCTGTTTATCTGAGAATGTCCTAAGTTTGCCCTCATTTATGAAAGACAGTTTTGCAGAATATATAATTCTTGGTTGACAGGGCTTTTTTTTTTTTCTTTTCCTTTCGGCGCTTTGTATCTATCATCTTATTGCCTTCTTGCCTGCATAATTTCTGACTAGAAATCAGCATTTGGTCTTATTGAGTCCCCTTTGTAGGTGATATTTCACTTCTCACAAGCTGCTGTCAAAATTCTTTCTTTGCCTTTGGATATGGAAAGTTTGATTATGATATGTCTTGGCAACTCTCTTGAGGTCTGTCATATTGGGGTTCGTTGAACTTGATGGAAATCTTCTTGTCTTTTGTGATATTTGGGAAGCGTTCTGCCATTATTTCTTCAAAAATTCTTTTTGTACTCTTTTTTTTCCTTTCTCTTCTGAGAGTCCTAATTTGTGTATATTATTTATTTTGATGGTGTCCCACATAAGCCTTAGGGTTTCTTTGTTTTTCTTCAGTCGTTTCTTGGTTTGTTCCTCATAAAAATTAATAGCAAAGGTTTTGTCCTCTTTCATTGATTCTTTCTTCCATTGTTTCAGTTCTACTTCTGTATCCTTCCATTAGTTGTTTATTTCTGTTACTTTATTGTTTAGTTTCAGAATTTCTAGTTGTTGTTTTGGTAAGGATTCTGTTTCTTTATTGAGTTTGTTGTTTTTCTGAATTCTTCTAGACTTTTTTCCAGTGTTTTCCTGATCTCTTTGAGGAGTCTTAATACTAGTGTTTTTTTAAGTCTTCATCAGGTAGCTCCACTGTCTGTTCTTCCTCAGAGAGCTATTCTGTCTCTTTCTTTTGTTCATTTGTTTGAGCCATCTTTTCCTGTCTCTTCATATGATTTGTAATTGACTGCTCTTTTTGAAACATTGGAGTTTTATTTTATTTAATTATATATGTCTTTATTGATTGTATATTTGTCATTAGTTTTTTCCAGTTGTTTCTCAACTCATTATTATTATTGTGATTTAGATGAGAGTTTACAGCTCAAGTTAATTTCTCATTCAAGAGTTTATACACATACTGTTTTATGACATTGATTGCAATTCCCCGCGATGTGACAGCACATTCTCCGTTTCCACCCCAGCTTCCCTGCGTCTGTTTGATCAGTTCCTGTCCCTTCCTGCATTCTCATCCTGCTTTTGGACAGGTGTTGCCCATTTGGTCTTGTGGATTTAATTGAACTAAGAAGCACGTTCCTCACATGTATTACTATTTTTTTATAGGCCTGTCTAATCTTTGGAAACGCTGGTGGTGTAGTGGTTAAGTGCTACAGCTGCTAGCCAAAAGGTCGGCAGTTTGAATCCACCAGGCACTCCTTGGAAACTCTATGGGGCAGTTGTACTCTGTCCTGTAGGGTCGCTATGAGTTGGAATCAACTTCACAGCCATAGGTTTGGTTTTTTGGTTTTGGGTGTAATTTTTGTCTGAAGAGTGGGCTTTGGGAATGGTTTCAATTCTGGGTTAACAGAGTGTCATTATTTTTATCTACATTTTTTTGTTTGATAAATCAGGAACTTAGCTTCTTTTTCGCTTTGAATTGTCTACCTTCCTTTGTATTATTTCAGTTGCTGTTGTTTTATGATACTGGTCTATATATGACTTTCGTGCTGCTGGTTGGCTGCATGTGATTTCCCCTCTCACTAGTGGGTATAGTGGGTCGTATACCCACAGGGTTCCTCTGTTGTTAGGCATGTATGTCTTCCCTTGGATGATTGCATGAAGGTACGAGAGTCTCTTCCCTAATGTGAGAAGCCATGTGTCGAGTGGTCAGGATCTTGAGGGATAGTGTGGACCTTCTGCATTGGCATGAGCAGTTAGTGCAACCATTCATTTCTTTCCAGATTTGTCTACTCAGTATCACTGCCTCCAGCTGTGTTTCCATGAAGTTGCCTTCCTGGGCTCTTCACCTAGGGATGCTGCTTGTTGCTGTCCCCAGATGGTCATGCCACACCAGCTGGCAGTCTGGGCTCAGATGATCTGTGAATCTCCATGCTCTCATTCTGTCTCCCCTCCAAATCAGTGCTCAGTCCAGTTCTTCAACATTCTGATTGATGTTCAGGGATCCAAGGTCATTATTTGTATCTGTTTCACTTAGTTTGTCAAGTCTTGTTGTCGGGGGATGTTCTAGTGCATCAATCTAAGCCACCATTTTAACCAGAACCTTCTATGGCTTTCTTCTTGATATGTACTATTTTTTCTGCCCTCCCTCAGTATCCTCATGAAGAAGATTTCCTCACTGATTTTGTACCAAACCTGAAGGGGCCTCAGTTGTCAAAGGTGGCACCAGCGGATTGTCACACACAGGAGTAAAATTGTTCCTAGAGCAGTATGATGATGGGAATTCTCAAAGTGGCTGCATGCTGGAACCCCCAGATGAGGCCTGTGTTGGAGACTAAGGGATGTGTGAAAGAGAGCTCCAGTCAGAATAAGAAATTCACCCCACAGACAAATAGTCTTGATCCTGAGAGCTCTCGCCGGTACTTCCGGAGCTTCTACTATCCTGAAGCAGTTGGACCCCTCCAGACTATCAGCCAACTTCAGGAATTATGCCATCGGTGGCTGAGGCCAGAGCTCCACTCCAAAGAGCAGATCTTGGAACTGCTGGTGCTAGAGCAGTTCCTGACCATTCTGCCCAGGGAGCTCCAGACCCAGATACAGAAGCATCATCCACAGAGCATCAAGGCAGCTGTGGCCCTGGTTGAAGACTTTCATAGAGAATCTGGTCAAAGGAGGAATGAGGTGAGAAAAAAGATTCCCGACATATACAATGAAATAGGATAAAGGTGGGCCTAATGGGGAGGCAGACATTTCATGAGGAATGAGGTGGATGTTGGGTCACTCTTCTGTTGTTCCCTTAGGACAGCTGAGGCAGGAGCTGAAATCCTAGGTCCCCAGCAATAGTCTTCCACGGGTTTTGGATCTTATCCATGCTGCCCATGACCCACACTGCCTGGCAGGTACTCTGAGGTGTGTTCATCCCAGATGTTATCCCCTAAGCAACCAGGCTTGACACAGTGGGGATTGGCACCTCCCATGCTGTTTACTCTGATCCTTCTGGCTTCTTCCTTGATGGCTTCTCTCTCTCTCTTTCTTTATCATGTACTATTGCTTTCTTCAGTGTGTGGCCTACTGTGCAACTCAGAGATGCTTCTGTAGTGGCAAGTATTGACCTAAAGTCCGTTCTCTTCTTTAGAGTTTGTTGACCTTTGAAGATGTGGCCCTGAATTTTTCCCAGGAAGAATGGGAATTATTGGACCCCACTCAGAAGGACCTCTACAACGATGTGATGCGGGAAATCTATGAGACTGCCATCTGTCTTGGTAAAGATTCACTCTTCTCTTTGTGTAGAATATACCCCCATGAGAGAGTCCCACTCTTCCAATAACTGGTTGGTTTTCAAGAACTTGATGGTGTAGGGAAGGGGAAAGATGTATCCAGATCACCTGGAGAGCATTTCCCAAGTACACATGCTCCACTTCCTTATTCTAAATAGAATTCTTGATCTATCCGCCTTCTCTGCCCTGCAAACCTACTCCTCCCCTGTCTTTCCTCTCTCAGTAATGGGCACTACCATTCACCCAAACACTCAGACCATAAACCTCATTGTCATCCTTTGTGCCATTCTTTTTTCATACCCCATAAGAAGTCCCTCAGCAAGTCCTCTTAGTTCTGTCCTCAAAGTATATCCTGAGTCTAACCATGTCTCATCATCTTCCACTGTTACCCTCCTAATCTAAGCTGCCATCATCTCAAACCCAAGTCTACAACAACAGCTCTCCATCTGGGGCCCCTCTGCCTCCGCTCTTGACCTTCCATTCTGTTTTACACACAGGCAGCCAGAGTGATCTTTTACACATATAATCAGATCATGACATTTCCCTGCTTCAGACCCTGTGATATCTTTTCTTCACATTTAGAATAAAATCCAAACTCTTTACCGAGGCCCACAAGATCCTATTTGATCTGTTCCCTGCTTCCGTCTCTACCCTCCTCTTATACCGTTCCCTCCCATACTCAGTCCTGTTTAGCCATACTGGCTTTCCTGCTGTTTCTTGAACTCACTAACTCATCTCTTCCTTCCTACTTCCTCTGCCTGGCACACGTTCACACCACCTCTTCAGATTTCTAAACTTTTTCCATTCTTTCAGGTTGCTGTTTGAATATCTTATCTAAAATAACTCCACCCCAAACCGATCACTGTTCTGTTTTTACCTTCAGTTTTCTTCAAAACATTTCTCACTTTCTGACAATTTTATTCATTACTTCATTTATCTATTCATTGTCCCTAGATTCTGAGTGTCCCAATAGAATGTAAGTTCCGTGAGAACTGCGGACTTTGTCTTATTAGCTCTTATTCACTGCTGTCCTCAGAATCTAGAGCAGTGCCTCACCCACTATAGGCACTCAATACATATTTATTGGATGCCTGAGTGACCACCACCCAGAGACCTATATTTTAAAAAATTGCTCAAATGATTCTGGTCTGTCCCCTCCACTAGGATGTGAACCAGTGAGCTCTAGGGATGTTAAAAATCTCTCCTAGCCCAGTGCATCATGCTTAGGTGCTAAATAAATTGAGTGTAGTTATTACAGGGACCTGTTGTCCATATGTTACCCAAACTACAAACCTTCCAACTGGCTCCACTGGGCCTGGCTTCATCCAGCACAAGAGCATGTCATCCTAAAGCATTAATAAACCAGATCATATTCCCTGCCACCTCGGGAGCTCAGTTTCCCCTTGGTCTAAACAGGGCATTCCTGGTGGCAGAAGATGGAGAACATGTACTGAAGTCCTATTCCCCGTATTCTTTTCATCTCTCCACCTTAGGTTTGTTTCTTAGCTCTCTCGTTGTATATTCTCTCACAACCACAGTAGAGTGTATTCTAGATACTGGATCAAGATTCTACCCATTTAACCATTTGGGTTAAAAAAAAGTGCAAAAGAGTCATTCTCTTCCTGAAATAGTCTGGAATTAGTGGACCAATTCACTGTTAAGATGGCAGTTCACGACCTCAAGATTTTCTTCTCAGAGCATTATTTTTGCACCCTAATCCTAAAGTGACCTGTTTTAAGCAAAGGGAAGAGCTGTAGATCCAAGGTCTCCAAGAATACAAAGACAATCTTGGAGAATATCTTAACCTTTAAATGTACGCATGTGAAGAACCTTATAAGGGCTTAGCATTTGAAGATTCTGCTCCTGTATTTCTTAATTAAAATTTATATTTAGGTAATTATACTTTTTATTTGCATATTTAAAATAAATAATACATAGAGAACCAGTGATGGTAATGTTTTGGAAAACTATAACATCACAACCAGCTTATTGGTATTGATATACGATCCACTCATCTTATTCAGCTTTCCCCAGTTTTACTTTTATTCATTTGTCTGTGTGTGTATTTAGTTCTGCAGGTATGTATATCCACAACTATGATTATGTAAATGGAGTCACAAAGTATGTAACTGTCTTAGTCATCTACTGCTACTCTAACAGAAACACCACAAGTGGATGGCTTCAACAAAGAGAAACTTACTCTCTTACAGTCTAGTAGGTTACAAGTCCAAATTCAGGGCGTCAGCTCCAGGGGAAGGCTTTCTCTGTCAGCTGTGGAGGAAGGTCCTTGTCATCAGTCTTCCTTGATCTGGAGCATCTCAGCGCAGGAACCTCAGGTCCAAAGGACTCGCTCTGCTCCCAGCACTGCTTTCTTGGTGGTATGAGGTCCACCTACTCTCTGCTTGCTTCCTTATCCTTTTATCTGTTGTAACATATAAGGTGGTGCAGGCCACACCTGAGGGAAACTCCCTTTACGTTGGATCAGGGGTGTGACCTCAGGGTGTTACAATCCCACCCTAATCCTCTTTAACGTAAAATTACAACCACAAAATGGAGGGCAACCACACAATACTGGGAATCCTGGCCCAGCCAAATTGATACATACAGTTTTTGGGGGACATAATTCAATCTGTGACAGTAAAAAATCCAGTTTGTTGCATATATCAGTCTTGTTGTTAGGTGCCGTCAAGTTGATTCCGACTCATAGTGACCCTGTGTACAACAGAATGAAACACTGCCCGGTCCTGTGCCATCCTCACAGTCGTTGCTATGCTTAAGCCCATTGTTGCAGCCACTCTGTCAGTCCATCTTGTTGAGGGTCTTCCTCTTTTTCACTGACCCTCTGCTTTATTAAGCGTGATGTCTTCCTCCAGGGACTGATCCCTCCTGATAACATGTCTAAAGTATGTGAGACACAGTCTCACCATCCTTGTTTCTAAGGAGCATTCTGGCTGTATTTCTTCCAAGACAGATTTGTTCGTTGTTTTGGCAGTCCATGGTGTATTCAGTGTTCTTCTCCAACACAATTCAAAGACGTCAGTTCTTCTTCAGTCTTCCTTATTCATCATCAGCTTTCCCATGCATATAAGGCGATTGAAAACACCATGACTTGGGTCGAGTGCACCTTAGTCTTCAAGGTGACATCTTTGCTTTTCAACACTTTAAAGAGGTCTTTTGCAGCAGATTTGCCCAATTCAATGCGTCTTTTACTTTCTTGACTGCTGCTTCTATGGGTGTTGATTGTGGATCCAAGCAAAATGAAACCCTTGACAACTTCAGTCTTTTCTCTGTTTATCATGGTGTTGCTTATTGTTCCAGGTGTGAGGGTTTTTGTTTTCTTTTTGTTGAGGTGTAGTCCGTACTGAAGGCTGTAATGTTTGATTTTCATCAGTAAGTGCTTCAAGTCCTCTTCACTTTCAGCAAGCAAGATTGTGTCATCTGCATAATGCAGGTTGTTAATGAGTCTTCCTTCCACTAGTCCTGATGCTACGTTCTTCATATAGTCCAGCTTCTTGGATTATTTGCTCAGCATACAGATTGAATAGGTATGGTGAAAGAATACAACCCTGACACACACCTTTCCTGACTTTAAACCATGCAGTATCCCCTTGTTCTGTTTGAATGACTGCCTCTTGATCTATGTACAGGTTCCTTATGAGCACAATTAAGTATTCTGGAATTCTCATTCTTTGCAATGTTATCCATAATTTGTTAAGATCCACACAGTTGAATGCCTTTGCATAGTCAATAAAGCACAGATAGACATCTTCCTGTTATTCTCTGCTTTCAGCCAGGATCCATCTGAAATCAGTAGTGATATCCCTCGTTCCACATCCTCTTCTGAATCCAGCTTAAATTTCTGGCAGTTCTCTGTCAATGTACTGCTGCAGCCGTTCTTGAATGATGTTCAGCAAAATTTTACTTGCATGTGATATTAATGATATTGTTCAGTGATTTCCACATTCGGTTGGATCACCTTTCTTGGGAATAGGCATAAATATGGATCTCTTCAGGTCGGTTGGCCAGGTTGCTGTCTTCCAAATTTCTTGGCCTAGACAAGTGAGCACGTCCAGTGCTGCATCCGTTTTGGGAAGCATCTCAATTGATATTCCATCAATTCCTGGAGCCTTGTTTTTTGCCTGTGCCTTCTGTGCATTTTGGAATTCTTCATTTATTACCATCAGTTCCTGGTCATGTGCTACTTCCTGAAATGGTTGAACATCAACCAATTCTTTTTGATATAGCAACTCTGCGTATTCATTCCATCTTCTTTTGATGCCTCCTGCATCGTTTAATATATTTCCCATAGAATCCTTCATTATTGCAACTCGAGGCTTGAATGTTTTTCTTCAGTTCTTTCAGCTTGAGAAATGCCAAGCGTGTTCTTCCCTTTTGGTTTTCTATCTCCAGGTCTTTGCACACGTCATTATAATACTTTGCTGTCTTCTGGAGCCACCCTTTGAAATCTTGTGTTCAGGACTTCATCATTTCTTCCCTTTGCTTTTGCTAGTCGCCTTTTCATTGCTGAGTAGTATTCCAGGGAATGTGTGTTCTACAGTTTTGTTTTGTTTTTAACCACTCACCCATTAAAGGATATCTTTGCTGTTTCCAGTTTTTGGCTATTATGGATATGTTCTTGTTAGGTGCCGTCGAGTTGGTTCCTACTCATAATCACCATATGTACAACAGAACAAAACACTGCCTGGTCCTGCACCATCTTCAGAATCGTTGTTACATTATGGATATAGCTACTGTAAACATTCACCTTTCCATATAAATTTCAAAATAAACCTATGTCTACCAGAAACTTTGCAGGCATTTTGATAGGAGTTGCATTAAACCTATATACATCAATTTGGGGAGAATTGATATCTTTACTATGTTGAGTCTTCCGATCCATAAACATGTTATGTCTTTCCATTTATTTAGGCCTTTGGTTTCTTCCATCAGTCCTTTGTAATTTTCAGCATTCAGCTCCTCTACAT